GTTCTTTCCTGTTTCCCATACTCTCTATCTGTGGAAGTGCAGACTGGCACTATCCTGATCCATATCTAAAATCCATATATGAGTAAGTACATACCATATTTGTCTTTTTGCGACTGGGTTACCTCACTCAGGATGGTTTCTTCCAGTGCTATCCATTTCCCTGCGAATTTCAAGATTCCATTGTTTTTTTTCTGCTGAGTAATACTCCATTGTGTAAATGTACCACATTTTCTCTATCCACTCTTCAGTTGAGGGGCATCTAGGTTGCTAGGAGCGTCTGCTCCTCCTGGGGGAGTTTGCTTCTTTTTGTTCTAGAACATTAAGCTGTGCTATTAATTCTCTAGTATGACTGTTCTCCAGTTTTTTCATGTGGGCACTTAGTGCTATAAACTTTCCTCTCAGCACTGCTTTCAAAGTGTCCCATAAGTTTGTGTATGTTGTGTCTTCATTCTCATTGAAATCGAGGAAGTCTTTAATTTCTTTTTTTATTTGTTCCTTTACCCAGGGATGGTGCAATTGTGCATTGTTCAATCTCCATGAGTTTGTAGGGTTTCTGCGATTTGTGTTATTGTTGAATTCTAATGTTAATGCATGGTGGTCTGATAAGATGCAGGGGGTTATTCCAATTTTTTTGTATCTGTGGAGATTTGCTATGTTTCCTATTATGTGGTCAATTTTAGAGAAGGTTCCATGTGGTGCCGAGAAGAAGGTATATCCCTTTGTATTTGGGTGGAGTGTTCTATAGATGTCTGTTAAACCCAGTTGGGTCATAACTTCTATTAGTTCTTTTGTTTCTTTGTTAAGTTTCTGTCTGGAGGTCCTGTCTAGCGGTGAGAGCGGAGTGTTGAAGTCTCCTACTATTAGTGTGTGAGATTTTATGTGCATTTTGAGCTTTAGTAATGTTTCTTTCACGAATGTAGGTGCCTTTGTATTTGGGGTGTAGATGTTTAAAATCGAGACTTCATCTTGATGTATTTTTCCTTTGATGAATATGAAGTGCCCTTCTTCATCTCTTTTGATTGATTTTAATTTGAAGTCTAATTTGTTAGATATTAGGATTGCTACGCCCGCTTGTTTCTTGGGGCCGTTTGATTGGAAGATCTTTTCCCAGCCCTTTACTCTGAGATAACGTCTGTCTTTGGTGTTGAGATGTGTTTCTTGTATGCAGCAGAAGGAAGGGTTCTGTCTTTGTATCCATTCTGCTAGTCTGTGTCTTTTTATAGGCAAGTTGAGGCCGTTGACATTGAGGGATAGTAATGACCATTGATTGGTGATCCTTGTTTGCACTTGATTTATTGTTAGTGAAGTTATTTTGTGTAGTTTCTCCTCCCTTTTTCAGCCTATTTTTTAGTGATTCAGCCTTGCAGAATGAATAGATCTTGAATTGTGTCCATATGTCCCCTTTCCCTCCACTCAGGCTCCTCATTTTAAATGTCTTGCTCTGTGTGATATATTTGTTGTGAGGATAGTTGGTAACAGTATTGGTAAGTTACCATTCACTAAAGGCTTCAGTTTACATTAGGGTTCATGCTACATCCTGTTAATTTGGCACGGATATACTGTCATTCTGTCACTACCCACAAGCCCCTGGCAGCCACTGATCTTTTTACTGTCTGTAGAGTTTTTCCTTTCCTAGTGTGTCATGCAGCTGGGATCACAGAATATTTAGGTGTTTTGTTTGTTTTGTTTTGTTTTTCAAGACAGGGTTTCTCTGTGTAGTCCTGGCTGTCCTGGAACTAGCTCTTATAGACCGGGCTGGCCTCGAACTCACAGAGATCTGCCTGCCTCTGCCTCCCGAGTGCTGGGACTAAAGGCGTACACCACCAACACTTGGCTATATTTAGGTTTTGTGGTCCATGCTCCTCAACTGTTTATAGTCCATCACCAAACAATGCACATTTCAGGTTACGTCATGTTTCTCCTTGTGACTGAGTGACTGATTCAGCCCTGACCCTTCACCACTGCCCTACATCACAAGGAAGTACTGTGCCATGGGTCACTTAGCCCAACAAAAGATCAAAAATCAAAGTTCAAAGTACAGTTTCTATTGAAACACATTGCACTTTTCTTTCACAGCATTAAAAACCTGGAAGACAGGGACCATTTCTGTCTAGTAATGGGACCTTAACAGTTTCTCCTCTCCAACTAAAAGCACTCAGTACATTGTTTCTGATAGTATTGTGCACTCATCTATCATTTTAACTAAGGATAGTTGGCTGGGGGTGGGGAGTGTTGTTATTTTGAGAGAGAGTCTTATATAGCTAAGGCTAGCCTCAAGCTTGCTATGTAACAAGAATGACTTTGAACTCCTGATTCTCCTGCCTCTACTTCCTGAGTGCTGGGATTATAGGCATGCACCACCATACCTAGTTTTATGTGATACTGGAGCCCAACCACAAGGCCTCTTGTTAAGCAAGCTCTTTACCCACCAACTGTGCTGCATCCCCAGTCCCTACGGATAGTCTTTACAAAGCCAGGTATGGAAGACATGCCTGTCTGTAATCACAGGCTGAGGTAGGGGCCATGAATTCAAGGACAGACTGGCCAAAGAATAAAACCCTATCTCAAGAAATAAAAAGAAAAAAGGAAGGCAGAAGAAAAAAAAATTGTTACCTTTATTTTTTTATTTTTTAATATTCTCCCTTAAGTGTTCTTTATTAAGCTCTGAATTTCTGACATGTTTTTCTGAAAAAAAACTATTTTAACATTTTCTGTAGCTAAAGCCTACTGGTGACAGATTTTGTCTGAAAAAAAGTCAGCTGTGCATGGTGGTGGTCTCCTAATCCCTGCACTCAGGAGGATCTCTTAGTTTAAGGTTAGCCTGGTCTACATAGTGAGGGTAACATAGTGAGTACTGTCTCAAAACACTGTGTGTGTGTGTGTGTGTGTGTGTGTGTGTGTGTGTGTGTGTGTATGTGTGTGTGTTGTGTCTTGTGTATTTAGAGGATAATTTTTCTAGATAAATGAATTTTAGGTGGTAAATCATGAAGTTTGTAGGTATTTTACTATCTTTGGTATTTTGCAGTTTATGAAGCCCTAGCTGGTCTGCCATTCATTACATAGGCCTAGCTAGCCTTGAGTTTATGGCAGTCCTATTTCAAGCATTTTGAATACTGGGATTACAGGGTTATGTGCCACCATGCTGTATGACCAAGCTAGTCTAGAATTTACAGTCCTTTTACCTCCACCTCTGAGTGCTGAGATTCCCTGCTTGCACCACCATAGCCCACTTTACACTCTTGTAAGTGGTTTATGAGGGGAAATCTGATGTAACTCTTATCTTGTTGCTCTCCAGCCTTGGCATTTCCCACCCTCTGGCTTTATCTTTGGTATTTTGCAGTTTGTGTTGATACACTGAGGTGTTAGTATTTCAGTATCACTTCTGTGTTCTCTGAGCCTTCTGGATCTGTGAGTTGATATCTGTCTTTAGGTTTGGAGAATATAATATACCAGGTAATATAACAGTGGAAGATAGACCTTTGGAATGGTTTGTTTGTTTGTTTTTAATCTGGCTAGGAGTTGGGATATATTTAATGTTAGGTGTAGCTGTAACTGTATCAGAGGTTTTATTTTTCCTCTTCTGTTGTCATTCTTAGTGGAGTCTGTGCCTTGCAGCTTTCCAGTTGGACACAGCCAGGTTCCTTTCCTGGAGCCCTGTTGATGATTACTGTGATAAAGTCTTAGGAAAAGAAAGTTTCACTGCTTTATCTTCAGTGGGAATCTTGAGTTGTTTGGTGAAAGTTTTGGAAGAGCTTCTTAGACTTTCTTTCCTCTTAGTGAGAAAGTTTAGATAACTAGTTGCTTTTCCCAGTCAGATAAGATTTCATTGCAACAGCTTGCACTTAAAGGCCAGTCTCCCTGACAGAGCCCACAACAGGGCTCTGGGTTTATTTCCCAAGGCTGCCTATCTGTGTTAGAAGAAGCCTGAGGGGAATTTTTCCGGTCTTTACAGAGAGCAAACATTGGTACTCTTAGAGGTAAACTGGGAAGTATGGGGGGGCGGCTCTTGAATTATACTAAGTAATGTTCTAGATGTGCACTGGTGCTGAGAAGCCTGGTTGGCACGTCTTTCTGCAAATGCTTTGACCTTGGCAGAGGCTCCCTACCCCCTGAGCTCTGTGGGGAACGATAGTCACAATACCTGCTCTTCTCCAGCCCCCACCTTCTTCCTAACGATTTTGTGCTCCATGACTGAGAGGTCAACAGTAGTTTCTGACAGTCTAAGCTGCAAAGCTAAGGCCCTTCGGACAATTTATTCTAGACTTCCACATAAAAATCAAGTTGCTTTGTTCTGTTTTGAGTTTTTTGTTGTTGCTTATTTGTTGGGTTTTATTTTGTTGATGTTGCTTGAGACAGGGTCTCTCTCTATAGCCTTAACTGTCCTGGAACTCATTATGTAGGCCAGGCTGGCCTTGAAGACACAGAGATCCACCTCCCTCTGCCTTCTAAGTGCTGGGATTGAAGGATGCACCACTAACACCCAGATAAGTCTTATTTATACTGTGTCTGAAAGGGAATACCTCCAAAAAGAAGAAAAATGCCTACATTTATAGGTTGTTTTTGTTTTATTTTACTTAGTTTTTTGAAACAAGATCCCCTTCTATAGCCCAGATTTGCACGAAACTCAAAAATCCTCCTGTCTCACCCTCCAGAATTCTGGGGTTATAGTTGTATACCACCACTCCTCATTATGACTACAACCTTCTAAAAGGAATTTTTGGTGTATGTGAACATGTTTGTCTAGGTGCCCACAGAGGTCAGAGGCGTCAGACCCCCATAGAATTGGAGTTACAGGAGGCTGTGAGCTGCAAGACAAAAACATGTCCTCTGCAAGAGCAGTACAGGCCAGTAACCCCGAGCCATGTCTCCAGCCTGTGGCTGCAACTTCTATTAGATTCAAAGGAATATTCACTTTCAGGTCTGACTGTGCTGACCACTTTTAAGAAGAAGGCTGCCAGAGATGTTACTTTAAAGTACAACATTGATATCAATTCACCTACCAACATACTTCTTCAGCTCCCTATTATCTCCAGTAACCAGCATTGAATTCCCCAGAACTGGAATGAATAATCCTCTTCTTCATCATCATCATCTTCTTCTTCCTCCTCCTCTTCCCTTTTCTCCTCCTCCTCCAAAACTAAATAGACAAATGAGAAGCTGGTGAGATGGCAGTACCTGTACTGCTAAGTTCCATCCCCCAAGCCCACATAGTAAAAGAAGAGAACAAACTCCAACCAAGTTGTCTTCTGACCTCCACACAGCTGTACACCATACACCAAATAAATTAATGTAGTTTTAAAAAATAAATAGATAAGTGAGTTTCATTCAGTTAAAGTATGGTAGTATAAGCCTGTTATAAATGCTAAATGGGGCTTGAGGGTAGTCAGGACCTTGAGAGACCAGATCTTTGTTCTTGGTAGAATACTATCAAAGTCATTTTGCATGAGTATCAAATGTGAGCACATTGGTAATTTTCCTCTCATTTTTCATATAAAGGTACTATCTGATTTCTAGTTCATTGAATTTTCAAAAGAATATTTCTGCCAGGCAGTGGTGGCACATGCCTTTAATCCCAGCACTTGGCAGGCAGAGACAGATGGATCTCTGTGAGTTCAAGACCAGCCTGGTCTACAGAGCAAGTTCCACAACGGACTCTAAAGCTACAGGGAAACCCTATCTCGAAAAACAACAATAAAATTTTCTAATAAGCAATCTTAGAGGAAAACTTCCAGGCTATGCTTGTTTCTCATCCTAAATTTTACATCTATTAATAGTTTTTGTTCTAACCAATCTTTACTATGATGGTAGCAAAATGGTCCAGCAGCCTCTCCTCACTGATGGGTACTTTAGGCAGGAGCATCTGTTGTCCCCTATATTATCAGTTGCCATGGACTCACAGATCCCTGGATTTTTTTCAGTAATCTATAGTTTATTACTATCCTTCATTGTTTTGATGCTCAGATTAGAATATCCCGTTTGACCAAGATGGCTCATGTGACATATACCTCTTGTTGTTTATTTGGGGAACACTGGAAGAATAATTACATGATGATTGCAAGATGTTAATTAGAACTGTAGCATTTTAGTTGGTTAAGCCAAGAATGAGATCCATCTAAGCTCTGTTTCACACACATGCCGCTATTTGTGGGGTTTGTTGTTCTTCATTTGGTTGGTTGGTTGTTTTCAAGACAGAGTTTCTCCATTTGGCACTGGCTATCCTGGAACTCACTTTGTAGGCCAGGGTGCCCTCAAACTCAGAGAGATCCGCCTTCCTCTGCCTTCTAAGTGCTGATATTAAAGGCATGCACCACCATGCACAGCTACATGTTGCTATTTGTATAGCACAGTCCTGGTGAGAGAAGAGTCACTTGCCTGCCTCCAGGGACTGAGAGCCCTTCTCAGAGGCAGTAGAATTTCTCCAGTGTGCTCATACATTTGTGGTTAAGTGTGGGTTACTTGGATCTCCAGCACACATACCTGTCTACTCAACATATCATCTGTGTGCTTTGTTTTTACCTTTATTGTACTGTTAATTTTTTTACTGTGTTTTACTGTGTGGAGGTCAGAAGAGAACTTATAGGAGTTGCTTCTTTCCGTCTACCAACTAGGTCCCAGGGACTGAATTCAGTTGTCAGGCTTGGCAGCAAGCACCTTTACCTTCTAAGCCTTCTTTTTAGCCCTCATTGTATTTTCTCCTCATCACATTTGCTATCTGTAAAAATGTCAGGAAAACTATTTCCAGGCTGGGCAGTGGTGGTACACGCCTTTAATCCCAGCACTCGGGAGGCAGAGGCAGGCGGATCTCTGTGAGTTCGAGACCAGCCTGGTCTACATATCGAGTGCGAGGGTAGGCTCCAAAGTTACACAGAGAAACTCTGTCTCAGAAAACAAAACAAAACAAAACAACAAAAACTATCCATTTCCTGGTGACATTTTTGGTCATTTTCACTTCAATCTGCACAGTGTGATTTTAGGCTAGTAGTAAGTTGGCTTCCATACCATCATTTTATTGTCTGACTCCACTTGTGGTATCATGTAGGAAGTGGCATCTGACTCAGCCATTACTCTGTGCTCTCTGAAAATAACAAATGTGTTGTAATTATCTGTGACCAGATATAAATGGAAAGAACTGGGCTTGGTTTTCTTTCTTTCTTCTTTTCTTTCTTCCTTTCTTTCTTTCTTCCCTTTTTTAATGTCTGCCTGAATTCAGCATGTGTTCTTTGATGCCTCTGTCCTTGGCAGGCTCCATCTGGCTCCTTGAATTGGTAAAGATTTATCTCACTGAAACATATTAATAGACCAGCTGGGTGTGGTGGTGCATGTCTATAATCCCAGCACTTGGAAGGTAGATGTAGGAGCACTGTAAATTTGAGGACAGCCTAGGCTATACAAATATAACAAGACCCTCCCTGTATCAAAGAAACAATTAACTAACTTCCCAGTGGGAGCTGAGGACATAGCTTAATAGAAGAGCACTTGCCCAACAAGCCAGGCTGTAGGTTCCATCTAAAGTACCAACCCAGAAAAAAAAATTAAAAGTATTTCAAACAAAAAAATATCTCATATCAGTAACATTTTTTAAGTTTTGTCATTTAACATTTTAAGGTCATACTGCCTACTGGATGCATTAGTATGGATATATTTCGTCATAGTTCCTAAAACTGAGAGTAATACTGTAATTTGCCACTATTGCTATGAGCATTGTCTGTTGAATTTATGAATTTGAAAGTGTGCATATTTTACCTTTCAGCCAGCACTGTGGCTCAGTGGTATAGCACTTGCCCAGCATGGGTGAGTACCCCAGTTCCCTCTCAAGTGCTACAAAATTGTTTAATTTTAATAATAAATTCCATACTATTGCCCCCTTAAGAGTCTAATGTATTCAGATTGAGTCACGTGGCTGTAACGATATGAATTTCCCTGAGATATTGGCTCCAAACCTGAAAGGAGAAGGGAAGGGTTGGTGCAGCATGCCACGCACAGCTTCCTGTCAGGGCATGCACTCTGTTCTGCTCTGTTTGAATCTGCATTGTGCTTTCTCAGCTTCTCCCTCAATGTTCTCTGTGTCTTTTTCCTTCTCAAGTATAACTCATGAAAAAGTAGGCTAGAAGATTAAGAGTAAAATAACATAGAAACAGAACATTTTTCAACCTGATGTAATTCTTGCTCAATTGGAGAGCAAACATCTGTGGACTGAACCTAAATGCAGTTTCGTGTTCTGTTTCAAGGTATGCCTTGGCAGCTTGCACAATCACTGCTAAGGTGTGTTTCAGTCAATCCTTAAAACCAAGGACTCTGGGGTTACCACTGGGAGACTAGCTTTGGTATTACACAGACCATGAGGGACAAGAATAACAAGGTCGGGGGTTCCTGTGCTACCACTGTGAATGGTCCATTTCATTGAACTTGTCTGCAGTGGCAGAAACCACACAGGAATATGGACAGTGGGAACCCATGTGTGGTGGGATGGGTCAGCAAAGCAGAGCACTGAGTTCAGAGCTGTACTTAACACACAGCATGTTGCTCTGAAGTCCACATTTGAGTGAGACTGTGGAAACACAGTTCAAGAAGGGTCATGTCAGAAAGAAATGTGACCATTTTGTTTTCCAACAGAATTCTTCTGATGGTTTCAGCCAAAATATTTTTAGATTTTTTTTCCTTAAGAAGATCGACTTGCCAAGAACTGAGTGCTTAGTTTTCAGATAATTAAAATGGATCTTGTTTTTTTAATCTCCAACAAGCAATTGTTTGTGGTTCAAAATAGACATAAAAGTAACTCTAAATGTTTCAGTATCTGAAATAACATAGTAATGTAGTTATATTCTTGGCCAGGTCGTAGGCTTCTCTTGTGAAAGACCCTGTTATGTTTCTATAGGTGGTTCTCTGTGGCCTGCCATACCCAAGGTTTAGACAGCACAGAGGCTTTTAATCTTGTAACTCATGCATATTTTTCTAGAACATGGGAGAGCAGAGAGGCTGCCTTCTTTGCTTTTAGACAGGCAGTGTCTTCTCAGAGTTGGACAAGCACAGTTGTGGCCCAATAGTGTGAGTGAGGCTCATTCATGGTCTTCCCTGGAGGTGACCCAGTTGACGGCATCATATACTGTAAGTGACTCTTCATCATGGGCATGACACATAGGTGAGAGGTCTCCCACCATGACTGGCTGACTGGGGTTAGGTGGTTTAGAAGACACAGTGCTGTGAGCTCACACTTACACATGGAACACCCAAGTCTGGGAGGAGACATTTCTGAGATGGAACAGGGAGGGCTGGCCTGACAAATCTGAGAAGCAGCTGTTTGCAAATGCTCCTGAAAGTGTGGTTGAGTCACTTATACACTAGTGACAGCTGAGGCCATGTGGGCTCTATGCTATTTTTCTCTTTTCCCTCATTCTGCCGGCGTCTTACCATGTCATCCTTTCTCATCCACAGCTGTGTAGCTTGCCATAAAAATGCCTTTGATCTAGCTACTGACCAGTACATTTGGTGGTGGTTTCATATGGCAGTGGCAGTCATTCCAAATGAGTTCCTGTTTTCCTACTTGTGCTCGTCAGTCCATGTGGTTTCTGAGGCAGGCGGGTTGTCAGAGAAGCTAGTATCAGAGCTTTAGCACATGCCCCCAGCTGTAAGACGGCTGCCCTTGCAAACCAGGGCTCGCCCTGCTGATTTCTGCAAGGAGGCTCGTTTGCCCTAGAACATTCTCTGTTGCAGAGACTCTGTCCTCCCAGGAGATCCAAGATGGAACACTGTGACTGATACAGTTTCCCCCTCCTGCTACTATTTTCCAGAACAAATACAAGAACTAAAATGAGAAAAAGAAGATAATTTTTCTCTGTGATTAGCAGATAATCAGATTACTCTGGGGATTAGATAAAAATAAACCCTTTGTTCCTATAAATAGTTACTGTGTTGACTGAGTTAATCTTTTGTAAGAGAATTCAAAGTTAAATCACAGGGCTGGAGAGACGGCTACATAGGTAAGAGTGAATACCAGTGCTGTTATTTCAGAGAATATGAGTTGGAGTCTTAGCCTGTCATCAGGCAGTTTATGACCATCTGTAATTCCAGATCTGACACCCTCTTCTGGCCTCCACAGACACACACAGGGCACACATTTACACAAAAATATAATCAAAATCTGTTTTACAAAGTTAAATCAGATAGATAGGATTTAGCTGAGGGAGTAAGTAAAATAGACCAGCATGAATCCAAGAACAGAGTAAGTGTTCTTAACTAAGGAGGAAGTTAGTTCACAGGTGTTCCCTCTAAGCCTTCCCTGGGGAGCCATCGAACTTTCAACTTGTCTTGGGGTTTAATATTTGGAGCCCCTGAGGGCAACCTTACATCATTTGCTTCTTCTATTTTGTTTCTATTTATGTCTTTGCAAAACCACGCAGTGGCTTCCCTTATGTGTCTGGTTTTGTTCACAGGCCGTGTCCTCATAGAGATTTCCATCACCCACAAGAAACTCAATGAAACTCTTGATGAAAATGTACGTGGACAGCTGTTATATTTTAAAAATGTATTTTTAAAAATTTTGCCTAAAACTCAAATATGATGTGATTTTTTAAAATTTTCATTTTGTCAACAGTTCAAAAAATTCCATAAGGAGATTATCCATGAGCTGGAGAAGAAAACAGAACTTGACGTAAAGTATATGAATGTGAGTGCAGTTTTCATCTACCCTGACCAACAACTGAGCTCTCAGCTTAGGAGAGCTTTCACACACACACACACACACACACACACACACACACACACACACACACATACACAGAGGCACATACACACACAGAGTTTTGTCTACTGCTCAAAGTAGGGGTGGAGTTTGGTGTTGATGCTTGGTATGTGTGTTACAAAAAAAATAGAGATGCATTGGGTGTGGCGGCACACACCCATATTCCCAACACTTGAAAGAGAAGGATGATGATGTTGAAACTACCTTGGGCTAGAGTGGTGGCTCAGCAGTAATGAGCTCTGGCTGCTCTTCCAGAGGACCCAGGTTCAATTCCCAGCAATCACATGGCAGGTCATAACTGTCTGTAACTCCAGTTCCAGGGGATCTGATGCTCTCTTCTGGCCTTACACATGTTGTGCACAGATATACATATAGGCAAAACATAAATAAATTTTTTAAAAAAGCAACAACAACAAAAACACACACAGGAAAAACTAATACAGGAAATCACTACTTGTAGAGGACAGTGTTTCAGAGAACATGCTGGTATGACAGGATGTCTGTGTCTGTATTCTACAACCGGTGCCTTCACTAAGCAGCACCTGGTTATGATTGTGCTTGGGAGAACACCTGTGCTTTGTGACTTCTTGCCTGTCACTCAGCCATTCATCCAGGCAGTTTGTAGGTCTTGCTTCACCAGCTCTTGAACTCCCAGGACTCAGGCTCATGACATCTTCCCTTTCTGCTGTAGGATACTTACTTTTGTCACCCAAAGCACCCCCACCTTTTTTTTTAGTATGGTCTGCCCATGTTACCTTTCCAAATCATCCTCTCCAGAGACCTTTACAAGGTCTGTAGCTATGCATGCACAAACCATGGGGTTAAACACACCTGCTGAGGTGGACTTCAAGTTGCACCTTTTACATTCTCTTTAAAAACAACAACAAAAAGCCAGGCAGTGATGATGCTTGCCTTTAATCCCAGCACTCGGGAGGCAGAGGCAGGCAGATCTCTGTGAATTCGAGGCCGGGCTGGACTGACAGCCTCCAAAACAATACAGAGAAACCCTGTCTCGTAAAAACAAAAACAAAAACAAAAAAACCAACAACAAAAAATATTTGTGAGTGTGTGCATGTGTGTAAGTGCACATACACACAGGTTGGAGTTAAAGTTGTAGGCCAACTGACATGGATGCTAGGAACCAAATTCTGGTTCTCTGCAAAAGCAGAAAATGTTCATAAGCACTGAGCCAACTCTCCAACCACCCTTTTCCTCCTGCTCACTGCCTTTCATGTGGTCTCATGGAGCCCAGAGTAGACTTACACAGGTAGATGATGATGACCTCAATCTCTTTATTCTCATGCCTCCAGCTCCCAAGGACAGAGGTTACAGGTATGTTAGCACCAACATGGCCAGCTCATTTTTTAGTTTGTATCCCTACCAAAACACCTATATAGTATTCTTAGGATCATTTTACAGATTTGTTATTAAACAATGGTTTTATATATAAAAAGTATTGAGCCCACACAGGTAATAAGCTCTCAAACACTGTACTGCACCCCAAGCACTCATGAGCAGTTGCACTTGTTCATTGTATGTCTTGAATTGTAAATCATGTAACAGCCAGGGTGTGTGTGTGTGTGTGTGTGTGTGTGTGTGTGTGTGTGTGTGTGTGTGTGTGTGTGTGTGTGTGATGCTGGGGATGAAACCTAGGGCTTAACATATGCTCTACCACTGAGTTACATCCCCAACCCTTCTGTATTGTTTGTGCATTCACCAAAGCACTGACTACCCAGCGTCTAAAAACCTTTGAAAACAAGAGGGAATTAAAAGAAAAGACATTTTTAACTTTAGAGAGCTGCTCATAAACACTAACATTAGAACTAAGAACACCTAGGAATTCAATCTGAATGACGGGATCCTCTGGAGTGTGGATGTAAGGATGGTGTGGACCAACATTCTTAAACCCCAGTCATAATGGAGCCACATGAGTGTGAGGATATCAAGGCCAGTCAGCCACACACAGTGGAAGTGTGAGCAAAAATGACTATGTGGCAACTTGTATGGTACCACAGTAAAACAACATTTAACTTACAGGCCACTCTAAAAAGATACCAAGCAGAACACAGGAATAAATTAGATTCTTTGGAGAAATCTCAGGCGGAGTTGAAGAAGATCAGAAGAAAAAGTCAAGGAGGACGAAATGCACTCAAATATGAGCACAAAGAAATTGAGGTGAGCTCTTCAGCAATGTTTTTCTTTGTCAATCATTATATGTATGTACACAGGTTGAGGGGAGGCTTACATCAGTCAGCTATACCATATCACTCCCTTCTTGCTACTGCTGAGGTGAAATATAAGTATTACAAGCTGAGTGTGATGGCACATGCCAGTAATCCCAGCTCTCGAGTTCTAGGCTAGCCTGTGCTACATAGTGAGACCCTGTGTCAAAGAAAAGAAAAAGCATGTGTAATCTTAGTATTGCAGCGTTTTCCAGATTTAAAGTAATAGCACATGGTACTTGTTGGCATCTCCCTTTAACATAAGGAAAAGAAGGGACCTTTGTGCTTAGCATGACTATCCCTCTGGTTTGTTTGAAGTAGGCTCTCACTGTGTGGCCTGGCTGGCCTGAAACTCTGTGTAAACTAGACTGGCCTAGAACTCACAGAGATCTGCCTGTGTCTGCCTCTCAAGTGCCAGTATTAAAGGTGTGCAGCACCATGCTTGACCTGACTGTCCTCAGATTGAGGCTTAGGTTAAGTCCTATGATTAGTACCTGGAAATGTGATCAAATCTGAAACTTTCTAGTTCCAAATTATTTTTCAGTAGAAGAGAGTCATCCCTAGAGTACAGAGTTGTATGATGCCAGCTGCTCAGTGGGGAATGTAAAGCCTTTGGTAGCCTCTCTCTACATGAGTCGGTGTCTCAGTGATGACGGTATCTGATTAGGCCAGGTTACTAGTATCTTGTCAAGTATTTATCTGCATTTAGCATTTACTTCATAAAGTAAACTGGGTATAAAGATGGCAGGCAATGAACATCATGCCATGCAGCATCAGATGCCTACTGTCATGTTTCTAATGTTTATTTTCATAGTATGTGGAGACTGTGACTTCTCGCCAGAGTGAAATCCAGAAATTCATTGCAGATGGCTGCAAAGAAGCCCTGCTTGAGGAAAAAAGGCGCTTCTGCTTTCTGGTGGACAAGCACTGTAGCTTTGCCAGTCACATACACTACTATCACCTGCAGGTGAGTGTGCATCTGACTGCAGTAAGTGTGGCAGTAGCTTTATCTTATACTCAGAAGGCAATGGGCCTTTTCAGAAATACAGATGGAATGAACAATCAAATACCCACTTATCATTAATTTCATAGTTTATCCATATTTAAAGTCCCTTGTAGCCGGACGTTGGTCGTTCATGCCTTTAATCCCAGCACCTGGGAGGCAGACGCAGGTGGATCTCTGTGAGTTCGAGGCCAACCTGGTCTACAGAGCGAGTTCCAGGACAACCTCCAAAGCAATACAGAGAAACCCTGCCCCGAAAAACCAAACTAAACAAACAAACAAAGTCCCTTGTACTGGGTTTGATTCCTAGCACACTGCATAAACTGGGTATAGTGGTACACGCTTGTAAGCCGCAGGAAGTGAGGCCAGAAGGGTCAGAAGTTTGAGGTCATCCTCAGCTACATAGTTAAGTATGAGGCCAGCCTAGGCTATGTCTCCAAATAAAAAGGAACAGTCTAAAAAAGTCAACTTTTGGTGGGTTCCTATGCATCCTGAGTGTTACTGTCTTGACTAGGCCCAATCTCTGGGTGATTCTAGATGATTGTAGACTATAGGATCTCTAGCAGCTCTGCCCGAGGCTACAGAGACCCTTCTCCCCATTTACACCCATCAAGACACTGAGTTTTGTTACTTTTCACTCTTGTTCACAGTATACACTCATGATTACTTCAAGTGGCTAACTTAGTTCACTCCTCCAGACAGATGCAGCTGTGAGGTTAGAGCCCAGGAACAATTACATGGCATGTTAATTTCCCTTCCTCTTTTCTTTCCTTTTAATTCTCTTGGGCCTATGTAAGCATCTCAAGCTAGCATGACTGAGGTCAAACATTCATTGTTGTTCATAAGCAAGTGATTTAAGAGAGAGTTCTGAAATATGAGCAGTTCTGCAAGAGCTAGAACGTAAGTCACCTCTTTCTCAGGGGGAAAAAACCCTGCCCTGTGTATGTACATGTCATATATTCTGTAACTTCAATATACAGCTTTCTAATCCAAATACTTAAGATCTAAATGGTTATAATAAAAAAGTGCTGTGTCCATGTGTCTGCCCTAGTGTAGCTGCATCTGTAGATGCCCACAGTGTATTTACATGCATAAGAGCAATGCTGAGTAGTTTGAGAAGTATGCATGCTTCCATGATGAGGGCCTCCTGCTGTGGCAGAATGACAGGGTCACAGCTGCAGAGGGGTGGAAGCAACCCTGAGTTTCCTTCGTATGGCAATGCCCCACTATGTCAGGAGGTAACCTGGGCTGTTTGCAGAAAGCTCTAGTTACAGACAAGGTCCTAGTAGTATTCTGTAGAATGACATAGACCAACCCTGCTTCTTTTTGTAACTGAAGTTTCTTCAGCTATTTGAAAACTGCTTTGTGATCCCCCTAGTCCTAGTCCTTCTCCTAGCCAATGCAAGTGGTCTTCATTACGTTACTTCCCAGCTTGTCAGGGTCAGAAGTGGTTGGTATGAGTTTGAAAACAGAAGTGTGGTTGCCATGCAAATAGCTTCAGGAACAGACCTTACTTCATTTTCCAACCAGAGTGCTGCCCCAGAAAGAGAGTTCACTGAAAAGTTTTGGAATCCTCTGAGAGTCCTGCTGCAGGAGCTGAGCCAGGCTCATAGGAGCAGGAACGGCCCCTCGGCTTCACCTCCAGAGTTGCAGTGTCTCAGCTCTGTCCATTTGTCTGTCTTTGTGCTGCCACCCAACTACTATGCAGAGACTGTTAAGACTATGACAGGAACATCCCTAGGCTCATACACATCCCTACCTGCTTCCCTCCCCCACCCCACCCCAACCTCCACCTATAGGCTCTTTCCCACAGGTGGACCTCCTGGAACAGAGTCTGATTCATTTGCCTAACACTTTCACTCCTGCACCTCTTACTCCAGCAGAGGTGTTGATTTTAGAAGGACTGGTGGGGAGACAGTGATTGTCCTTTCCAGGACCAGCTGGAAAATGAAAGACTCTCATATTGGTTGCTCAGCTCCTCCCTTTTAGCTTTTGAATGGCTTTATTGTTTTGTTTTTGAGATGTACATGAGCACACACACATCTCATGCATACTAAGCATGTATTCTGCCTGTGAGCTACTCCCAGCCCCCACAGGATTCTTAATCATTAATGGTCCTGTGTTAACTAGAAGTTCTATATTCATGCTGAGAAGGTAAGTTCCCATTAGGTCCTAAGCCTACCTTCTCAGCAGTCAAGACACACAGTTGCTTAAATTGCTTGCTGAATTAGACTCCCAGGCCCCACTCCTGGTTGCAAATCTTAATGCATTAGTAGAGGTGCTGTTGGAGACAGCTTTGATCAGCTCTTCTAACAGTGCACTTTTGTCTTTAATTTTGTTTCTTCTGGATTTATAGTCTGCAGAATTACTTAATTCCAAGTTGCCCCGGTGGCAGGAAACCTGTTGTGATGCCACAAAAGTACCAGAGAAAATCATGAACATGATAGAAGAGATAAAAACTCCCATCTCAACACCAGTGTCTGGGACGCCACAGCCTTCACCCATGATCGAGAGAAGCAAGATGGTAGGAATCAGTCCCCTTTTTTGTATGTTTACTAGTATGAGTTAGTTCATATTGACTTAGAGGACCAGAATTGACTTTGGAGATAGACACCATGAGCCCCCTTTCCTATTCTTATACCAGTGAAGACCTTTACCCCTCTTCTTTAGAACTAGAATTGACTGTACAAATGTCTTTTTTTTTAAAGATTTAT